GCAGTCATCCATGCTAGCTAATGCCTGTGTGTTCCTTAGCACTAACCAGTGCACTTAGTTTTTTTTCTGCCTCTGTGCATCTGAGATGGGAGCTGTTCAGTGAAATAAATTATTCTTCTTGGCTGTGCGGGAGAGCTTGCCCAGTACCTTTATTATTGCACCTGTTTTCAATGATGTGTTTATCAGTTGCTTAAAAATTACTTCTGTTCTGGCTGGGCTACAAGGAGTTGTTATTATCTGACTTCTCATCCACAGTGGGCCTAGCATTCTGCCTTCAAAATCTTCCATTCAAGTATTTCGTTATTTTTGAAGGAGGTGGGACTATTCCTGAATATCAAAGAGAGGAGAAGATCTGTGGAAGTAGGAAGTAGAAATTTTTGGAGATGGGAAATCTGAAGATTAAAGTTGAAAAAGGAAAGAGATACAACTGCTGAAGTGCTGAATTGGGAGTCAGGGGAAGGAGCTGGATGTTAGAAGTAGCAGAGGTCACTCTTGGAGGTCCTTTCAAGGAGCAGAAGAGGCATAGTAGAAAAAAAAGGTGGCCTTTATAAGGAATGCTGACATGAAATGAAGGAGTATGTGTGCTGAGGAAATAACACAAAAGAAAACTAGTATTAAGCTTGTAAGTGACAATGAAATAAAAATATACATAGGGGAAAAAGCACAGCAATGGTACCTCATCCTGCTGTTGAATTAGAAAAAGGAATGAGAATGCACCAGCTTTCTGCTGAAAAGCAGCAGTGGTAAAAACAAAGCACAAGTAAACCTTAATGCCTGTGGCTATTTATGTTCTGTATGGCTGTGGTTTGTGTTCTGCCTGATGCTGCCAGCAGCCAGGTGTAGAGGTGGTCCCCTGGGCACAGAGTGGGGACCTCAGGTGTCAGCACGGGGTGGTTGCCACCATATATCCTCCATTACAGGGAGATCTGGGCAACTTTCATATAAAGACAACGTGAAGCATTAGAGAAACCTTAAAACTTGCATAGATGTGGCTGTATTTGCTTAAGACGTAAGAAAAACAAAGAAAAAGTCAAAAATTGATAGCCAGTATTTATAAACAAGAATTCTACAGTGTGAAGTTTACGCTAAATTGCTAAGATCTGTGTGTTTCCATGCAAACTATATCAGACTATACCAGAATAATAGCAGAGCTCCAGAACACAGTGAAGTGTTTGAGTGTAAGATACTGCTAATCATTAGGAAGTTTGCTTTTATTTGCAAAAACTGTTTAAAATATTGCCTTTATCTTGTATTTTTTGCATGTGGAATTGTTCGTAAACTTGGAAAACATTTTCCTGGTGTGGCATTGCTTTTCATTTGAGTTTTAAAAATGCACGTTTTGTGAATTGCTCTGTTTAGAGTAATCTCTGAGACTGTGCTGAGACAACGGATCAGAGTCTGTGCTCTTATTTAGTAATTATTACTAACAGTTAAAACTAGAAGCATGCAGCATTAAACTGCCAGATATTGTATCTAATGTGTGTTAGCTGATGCTATATTTTACATAAGACCTGGGCGCTTCTTGCTACAGACGTGGTTATGATGGGTGGGAATGAATTTGCTAAGCTTTCAGATATTTTCTATGCCTCTGAGGACTGCCCATTAATAATATTAATATATAGGTATTTCCCACTGTTGTATGCGAGGCATTTCTTAGAACTTTGAAGCTGAAGTCTTTCTTAACACGCGGACCTTTTCAATTTAATCCATTAGCAACTTGGCAAAATAAAGTAATTGTCCAACAGAGGAAGAAAAAAAAAAATCTATTAACATTTGCTACGAATCCGAGTAGTACAGGCAGCACTTAATTAATGGAACAGATTTCTCACTATGTATTCAAGCTAACGCAGCCATTGTTCAGCAGAGATTAGACCCTTAATGTAAGTAAGTTAAACTAGACCTCCATCTAAAAATATCCGTCATTTCAGCTATTAAAGGTCTGATGTCTTCTTTGGTGACAGATATATTTCCCTTCATTTCCTTGGTTTTGTAAAATGCAAAGCGTGCATTGTGTGTAACGCGAGAGACGCGCGGAGGCAGATGAGCCCGCGATTACAGCGCCTGTCTGCCACTGCCTGCTCCTTTGTGCAGAGCCTCGCCAGCCCCGAGACCTCCTGGCACCGCGGCAGGAAAACAGAGAACGCCGTTTGTTAGGGTAGGATGCCAGCCACCTAATCTGTTTGCAGAATGAGGGCTGTGGGATCTGATTAGGTAATTTAGATACCTTGTGAATTTAATAATACCTGAGCTGCCTTTGGCTGCCAGCCCGTAATTTTGCTCATAGGAACCGCTGCGTTCTTCCATTTCTTTTGTAAACTTCTTGCCCAGAATATCGTATTCAAATCCAACTGGGTGTTAACAGCTGTAGGTGGGGTACTTTTACTTCCCTACGTTTGGAGGTTGAGGTGATGGCTTGCAGGAGGTGAGATCACTTGGCTTTACGTGTTTTCCCCAGTGCAGTTCTACGCACGGTGTGTGCTCATCTTCTTGAAAATGGATTCTTTTTTCAGCGTGGGATTCCTCATTTATCCATCTGAGTGGCTGTGCTGAGCACTGGGACGCAGATGGTCAGCCCATGGGGGGGATCTCAGCAGCAGCAGGTACTCAACTCCATGCACCCAAAAGAGAAACCCCAGGCTGCCATGTCAGTGTCTCACCTCCTCCCTTCCTCTCTCCTTTCCATCAATTAGTGTTTTTGGAAATTAGTGTCAGAAAGCCCACTAACATGAATAGAAGTGTTTTAGAATTTGTTTGCTTTAACTAATTTAAAGTGCTTCTCACTGAGAGGATTTAGAGTTAAACATCTTTCTTAAACATCACTGTGCCAGTAACAGCAATGCAGCAATAACAAGACCCAGAAAGGGAAACCAGCAAGCAAAATGCAGTGTTTTTGTCCAAAAAAAGTTAATGGTCATCTTGGGAAAGTGGAGGAGATACTGCTCAGGGACACTGCGGTGATGTTGGTCAAAGCAGTAGAAAATGTACCTGCAAAGGTAGAGATTGGGACAGTATGGAGTCACTCCTTGTGCTGTTTTTGTTCTGTTTTGCTTAATTTTGACTGTTGCTGTTTTTTCTAACAGCACCCAAGGTGTTCTTTGAGCTTCTCAAATAGGAAGTGTGTTGCTCTTTGTGTAATGATAAATAATTTTGCATAATGAAGATGAAGTGATGGTAAAGCTAATGATATTAATGGGATTTGTATGAAAGCATCCAATTAAAAAAAAAATTGAAGCAGCTGCCTCAAACATGACTATACAGTGTAATAAAACCAAATAATAAATGTGCTCAAGCCACGTCATATTATCTAGTTTGATTAATTGAACCTTACACATGCAAAGTGGTCATTATCAGGCTTCTCAACCATCAAGGAAAAACCATCTCAATTATTTCCACAATGAAACAATCATTGCTTTTTTGTGTACCATCTCAAAAGAGAAATCTGCTGCTGACTTGGCTGCAGGATACAAGACCCCACAGGACGATGTCAGTTCTGCCCAATGTTGGCCTTCTGCAGCCTCAGTGTGAGACGTACTTCGAGTCACTTGCATTGCGTTGCTTTTCTTTTGTGCTGTTTTATGGGGCTTTGGGGGTCTTTTTTTTTTTTTTGAGAAACTCTGCAGGTCCCCACGTGGCTGTGCTGCGGGGCTGCTCTTAGAAGCATGAAATGCTTATGAAATGCAAACGGGCAGCTCCCTGGTGGTGCTTCAGTGCTTGCCTGCTTCCCACCTTCCCTCTGTGTGGGTGGGGATGCTGTTGGAGCAGTTAGCTGCTGCCCTGCAGGGTAAGTGCCCAGGCTGTGGAGCCGTGTCCCCGCAGCCAGCTAGAAGTGCTCTGCGTGTCTGGAGCAGAGCTGATCACCTGTGAGCGTAGACCTCCTGTCTCCAGCAAATCATAAGCATCTCGAGCTTTTTGTCAGGCCGTGATATGAGAATCCGCATCTGAATTTCAGTACGAGGGGAGAGAAGCCGATTAAGTGTTTGAGATAAGGTTATGTGACACCGCGGGTTAAAAATACCTGAACTGAAGTTGGCCAGGTGCCTGAAAACCACGTCTCGGTGTGCTCAGGTGGTGCTGAATGCGCTCCCAAGGAGCGTGCTATCTTCTGCTTTAAAGAGGCAGTTCCTCAGGAGTGGTCTTTTAGGAGCTGCATCTCTTATTTTACAGTGTTTCTTCAGGTTCTTGCATCTTACTTTTCTTGAAAATGACACCACTGAGTGAAAAGAAAAAAATTTAAATCAACTCTATCCACTTAGGAGGGAAAAGACAAATGTTTGTTTGCACGTGAATATCTGGGGAAAGGCTTATTTTTGGAGTTCAGATCCCCAGAATCTTACACAGGTTAATTCCAGTTCCCTTAAGAAGTGAGCTGTAACCCTGAGCTGCGCTTTAGGCCAAACTAGAATGGAGAGCATCATTCATTGAAACCAACCAGTGGCAGGTCTGGGAAATAAACTCAAGATACTAAAGCCCCTTAGTCTTAGGGCTGTATACTTCAGTAATTTAGCTGTTATTTTTCATTTGTGACTTACATTTCTATAAATATTCTCAGTAATGAGAAGAAACACTGGGAAATGTGTGCAAATAATAGGATAAGTGGTGGGTAAAAACTTATCTCAACCAAGTAAGTTATTCTGACCTGGATACGTTTTGGTCTGTATTTAATACTTGAAGACCTTGGTCCAGTTTAGGGAGGTGTGTGTCAGGTTGTGGGTGTGGGAATGAATGGGTCTGGGGGTGATCATGGAGGAGACTGCGCTGGATTTGGGGTACTGCTGGTGTGAACTGTGTCTGAGCACCTCTCTTGTCATGTAACTTAGTGTAGTCCAGGAGTGTGATACAGAAATGTAACTTTCCTAATGTACCAGATGCATTTTCATATTTTCCTTGGTTGATTTCAGAAGTAAAGTTGCCTGTTCATTTTTTCCAGACACACTGCAATGTGTAGTTGAGCTCTTTGCTCATGTATGTTCTTGTTTGTTTGTGTTTTTTTTTTTTAACAGGTGGACTGAAGCCAGAAACCAAGATGCTTCTCAGTGCTGCCTCCAAGAAAAAATCTAAGGCAGGGAAGGGGGATGCAAACAAAGAGGATGAAAGCAGCAAGAATGATTCGGCCCAACCTGTTACCATCACTCTTCTTTTTAAAAGATATGTCTTTGACACACAGAAGAAAATGATTCAATCCTGAGAAAGCAAAGAGGCTTCTGAGCCCACCAGAAAGACCAGACTCTGGAATGAATTCAGATGGAATGTGTTGCTTGCCTGAGTGCATTAGATCTGTTCCTTCTTTGCAGAGCTTGGAAGCTCCTCCTGACTCTGTGTCCACTTCTGAAATCCCTGTGATCTGGTTTTATTCTGTTAAGATCTACTTATCTTATCATCTTAGTGATGGGAATTTTTATGGCCTCTTGAAGGATGCCACCTGTCAAATGGCAGCACTGGGGCATGCATTCTAATAGCAGTGTTTTTCTGCTGAATTGTTTCAAGGTTTCACATAATCTGAAAGTTTGCCACCAATATTGATCTAAATGCAGTCAAGATGTAAATTTCATGCGACTTACAAAGTGAAGCTGATTTGCCTAGGTTTTATTCCCCAAGTGAAGTGAGGGACAAAAAGAGCGTGATATAATAGGTGGAACCTAGAATGGATATTTCAGATGCCTTCAGCTGCAACTATGTAAGATGTTATCTGAGAGTTGGTATGGATCTTTGTTATAGATGATTTCTATCTAGAAATGTTTTTCATATTAAACATAATGATGCGTATAACTGAGAGTCTTAATTGTTCTGTCTGCTGTTCCAAAGGTCTCAGAACCTAGTTTTGGTGACTTTTTATATAGCTTTTCTGAATCTCCTGCTGGTTCTGTGCTGAATCCTACTTTGGAATTGTTTTCTTTTTTTGTAACCAAAATGCCTTTTGTGTTTGAAAGAAAAAGTTGCCTCTGGCAACAGTCAGGAGCTTTCTTTCATTGAAATAATGATAGAAGATTGCAGCATAAACCTTGTAAAATGAGTATCTCCAAGATGCTTTAGAAACCATTAGTTGTTTAATAGGGATTTCATGGCTACTTTAGTTCTTCCTCTCAATTTCATGTCCTAGGCTCACGTGGAGGAGAGCACTGGTGGTATCCCTTCTTTGTTATTTACACATAGAGCATCATAATGTAAAAACTAACAGTAGTTCCACAGAGATGGACATCTTGAACAGAAATTGGACTCTGGGTCTGGCAGCATGGAAGGTACTAGTTCCTGTATGTTGAACAAAATGAGTGCTTGTTGGTGTTAAATAGCAGCCTGTGGCCACCTTCAGTGGAGCCAGCCATGGGCGATAATGTGAGTTAGATGGAGCAAAGTAATGGTAATAGATCATTTTGCTTATTTATCAGTGTTGTTGATCAAATACCCATTGTTGGGTGTGAATCCATTTTACTAACGTAATCCTATTTTTCCCCTTTTTTCATTTCCTTTTAATATCCAGGTAACCAAAGTGGACAGATGGCAAAAATCTCAGCTATTGTGTGAAGGTGTTTACAACTGGATAGTGTTGAGACAGGGCAAGTCAGGTGTTCAAACTAGGTTGATGGTGCCCCTTTAAATCAGAACAGAATTAGTGCTTTGTGGAATAATCCCAAACAGTTTCTGCTGAGTGAGTCCCAGCAAAGCTTTAGCACATCCCATAAGATTATGGGGTATGCTTTCAGTGTGATCCCAGAGGAATTAGGCAGACAACTTCAGCTATGGCTTAACGTGGCTTGTGCTGCCAGCCTTGCTGGAAAATGTGTCCTTCTATAATGAAAAAAAAAATGCATTTCACACCCCTGTCACCTCTCCTTCCCTATTTCTCTTCTTTTTCCCAGACACCCCTAAAGGCAGTCTTTGGAAAGAATATTTTTTGTTATCTTTCTATTTAAGCCTTTATCAAATCCTGTTTTGTATCCTGCACTGTTGCTTCTGCTTAAGATACTGCAGTGATGGAAGCTAGAGAAACAGATGACATAGAAGGGACGCCAATATTACCATACTATGTTAGCCTAAGAATTACTGGTATCAAAAAACCTCTCTCATTTAATTTTTTTTTTCTTTTAAAGTGAATTATTAGGGGATTTGTTTTTATCTGTATAGATTAGCGTCCTTGCCAAATTTTAAATGGGTAAATAAATTCTTCTAGCTCTGCTTAGAGTTTTGGGGAGAAAAGTATGTACATCCTGAAAAGTATCCTGTAGGATATTGTTGGCTGTTCCACAGTTGCTGATCCTGCCTTACAAACGAAAAAGACAAAGACCTGTAAGAGTGTTATTGAATAGATCTGGAGAGGAGGCCTGATGTCAGTGTTACAGTGGCACGTGTATTTTTAGAAGGCGTTATCTGATTCTTTTCCCTCTCTATTGCTGACTGCCCATAGCAGCCTCAGTGAGTCAATCGTTATGGAACTTGATGTGTTTGAAAACTCTTTAGCGCTGTATACTGACAGCTCTGCAGCTCTCTGCTTGGCTCCTCACCAGTCATCTGGTGTGGAGTGTCCCACAGTTGGTTTGCTTGGGGCGCTCCAAGGGAGAGAGCAACAACAGCTTTTGCAGAGCTGTACCTCCATCCCTTTCTCCAGTCTTCTGTAATGCATGTTTTTTACTCTATACCCCCACCTTTTCTGTCATCTCCAGTCTAGAACACTAACTTGGCATCATTGTTCCATCCCCTCAGTCCAAGATCTGCCTTCCTCCCTGGTGCTCCTATTTCCAAGCATTTTGCTTCTCCTGCTGCTTCCTCTGGAGAAGAAGACAGAAACCCGAGCAGCACATGTGCCATACAAACCTCATGTGAGTACCTTCACCTGCCACCATTCTCTGCCCAGGTGCCTTGTAATTCTCTGCATAAAGCCCCTCGTTTTGCTCCCCCAGCAGAAATTTGTGTAGGATGGAGTGCTGCAGAGGTATCTGGTGGAGGCTGGTTTTTTTTCCCCAATTTTAATTCTAAGAGAACTTACATGTGCCTAAGAACTTTGATTATAATGTGCTGTTACTGCAGATCTCTGGCTGCTGTCCTGAGGCTGTTGGATACACACTCGAAAAAGGGTGAAATGGTGGAACAAAATGATTATGGGAAAATCAAAGCTTTTAAAGACATTTGTAGGATGAACAGATGTTCAAACATTCTTTTATTTGGTTTCCAGACAGACGTAGAGACTTACCTTTCATCCTCGTAATCAGTACATTATGCTGTAATTTGTAAAAATGGCATTAAAAAAATATTAACAGGGTCATATTGTGATCTACTGACACTGTGTCATTAAGCCGTGAAGTTAAGAATGGCAAATGGAACAGGGGTTAAATGTTGCAGAATGTA